CCGCTTCGGCCGACTCTCAGTTTAAAAGGGGGGGGGGGGGGCTCTGGCTACCCTAAAGTGACTACTTCACCTTGTTAAACCGAATCGCTCTCGCTCTCTCTCCCAGCGCGCGCGCACACACAAAAGGCATGAAACTGAGGCGCGTGGGCTCTCATCGGGACGCCGCGGTTTCAATGAATTGAGTTTTCACCCCTCGTTTAGGGCGATCGGCAAAGCTGAAGGGCCGCCGTGCGGGAAGAGGGAGAGGAGGGCTGAGTGGAGCCGGCTTTGCAAGAAGGGGCTGCCGCCTGCACTTTGCGCTTACCTTCCGAAGTCCTGCCCGTGCTGAACTCTTTCAGTTTGTCCTTGTCACTCTCTACGTGGTCTTTGAAAAGATGCACCGGGCAATGGTTGCTGCTCTCAGTAATGTCCTGCAGGTTAGTGTCCGAGTTTCCAAGCTCCCTGGATCGAGCCAACCCACTCTCCAAAACTTCCCTGTACGTGATAGTCTCCTTCTTGTTGCTGCTGCTACTACTGCTGCTGCTCTCTTTGCTTTTCTGGTCAAAAGATTTGGATACAAAAGCTGTAAGTTCTTCCATGACTGCCCGGTGATCTTATCCACAGAGATCCACTTGTTTTCAGTAGGAGATCTGGCCGTCCTCTGCACGCTTTTTTTGCACGTAGAAGATGGGCTGTATAGGGTTAGATCACTCCTGCTGTTATTTATGCCTTTCAATTTGAGATCACACTATTTATACATGGCTACCTCAGCCCAACCCCCAGCTTTCCCTGTCTCCAGCAATTACTGCCTGCTCCATAGTCGCAGGCGGACTCCTAGCAGCTATCTCCCCCACCTCAGTCCAGCAATTGGCTTTCTTTTCATTTCATCACTGTTTGGCGTCTTTGCACCTTGATTTAGGGAGGCACAAGCAAGAGACAGAGAGAAATAAAAGGGGGGAAAGAGAAAACACAAAAACAGGTATCTGCATTCTGTAAATGGGTTGCAGAAATGAAAGTCAAGGAAGACTTTATTGATTGTAAGGACATCCTAAGCTTGCCAACACTGTGAGTAAAAACGGACCTAGCTAATCAAATAAATCTGTTCGTGCAATTAAATGTATAGATATCAACGGGAAAAAGAGAATGATCGTTCAATAAAAAAGGTAATTTAATAAAAGCTGGGTATGTGCATTTGCTATAATCATTTATGTTTCTACCTGATGACGATTTTCTGTTTTAATTAAAAATTGTCAAATTATTCAATGAGCAAAAATGTTGGTTTAAAGTGCTGTCTGTAGATGCGAAAACCATTTATTGCAGCGAAGCCGATTGTTGTAAACCTCTGAGGTCCTTATCAGTTGTTGACTATCGGTGTAGGCACCTCCAGCTGCGTGTAAACATTACAGAGGATCTGTTTTTCTTGCTAATGCTATTATGTCGCCCGAAGATGGTGTCCGGGAAATTTAAGATCTAAAAATGTCTAATTTTTGCCTAATGCAATCCTGCCTTTGTGCGTGGTATTGGAGGGGGGGTTGTTAGCTGGAGTGGCCCTGTTTGTACACATCAATCAGAATATTGGATTTGTCTACATTTTGAAAGCCAAACGACTATTGTCATATGTAAGATGGAGCTGTCATTAATTTTTTCCATCTTATTCACGGTGGACGGTAATTTTTTTGTTGTGCCCCGTGTCATAATTGCCTCCCTGTAAGTTGGAATAACTGCCTGAATGTAAGGTCCAGATAATAGCAGTGACATTTCGAACTGCTCTTTGCACAATTCGATCTGAAGATAAAGCTGATCTGCCTCCCGCTTCCCCTTTGGACCTAACACAAAGGATTTGGCATTTGGGGGGATTTTTTTTTTAGTTTCCACTGGCGTTCATTTTGCATCTTCTTGTGTCAGGTCCTCATCGCGAGCATTAGATAATCAAACCACATCCCCTTGCCCACCCTCTGCTCTGGATTTTGCGTGACTCGGGGACCATTATTTCCATCCCAGGAAAGCGTGCGATTGCTCTGAAAATTAACAGACCATTAAAACAATACAAATGTGTTTAATTAATCCAGGGGTGCCCCTCCCCACTTCCCCCGACACCGGCGTTAACACCTCCGCAGGAGGAGAAAAGAAACAGCAAGGAAACAATTAACCCCCCCCCCCCGTGTGATTTTACAATGATCATCAAGGGGACAAGGATTGATCGTCTGATCTTGGCACTGCCGATATCCCTGACATGTATTGTATTGTCGCGCCTCAGTAGCCCTCTGCCTACAGAGTTCATTTCACAAGCCAGGGAGCCAACCGAAGCCTTCGAATTTAACAAACAGATCTTGTCATCTCAAAAGCCAATCAGATCCCAGGGCCTAATATATATCGCGCGGGACCCTATGAATAATAAATAAAAATTACCTATTTATAGATAAAAAAGAGAGAGCCGAAATGTGTTGATTACGATATAGGTGCTTTGTGGCATATACACATATATGTGGCTAACAGATACAGACCCACGTTGCTTGTAGGTTAAGTGTCTAGTAAAACACACACAAGGACCTATTTGAATAGACACTGCGAAGTTAAACTCTTAATGGAAAAGGAGAGAAGGCGGCAAGGATCACCTGAGAACTCCGTTTCCACGTGTCTGATTCATTCCCTAGTCCTATGAACTTTCTCGAGCTGCAATTTTCTACATCAGTGAAACTTTCCAAAACCCTCGACTCCTTCATTATGGATCCTCTCCCCCGCCCCCCGCGTTAACAGACAATTTTTGCCTTGCTGTCTCCCAAATTAAGAGTAAAGAATATTTACGTCGGTGTTGTGCAGCCCCGGGATCCCACAGGTCTAGTTTAGTTACCTTATCTCAGATCGTTTGCAATAATCCCCTACCCCCACCCTACTAGCCCGATTTTGCCCCCCGTGTTCTGTTTTCTTCCACTGGCTCGGAAGGGGAAGACGGCTCCCCCCGGAAGGTAGCCCCCGATGCGCTCTTCAAACCCACCAGGTCCTTAGCTTTGCTTCGGATGTGGAGTCAGTCCTACCCATAGCCAGTTCCTCAGTCCCAAGGAGAGGGCAACTCGGCAGGTTTCTACCCGAGCCCTGCTTTTGAAATAAAACGGAGGGAGAGAGTTTATTGTTTCCAGAGACACGTTTTACGAGCGTCCCGTGGAAAACATATAGTGTCGCCTATTGGCCCCACAGATTGTGACTTTGTAAAATATATGCCACATTCGGTAATTACAAATCTTCTTCAATACCCATGTGGCATGATGCCATTGGGTTACCTACAGTAACCAGTAATGGCAGAGAGGCGCGTTCGGCATCCGGATTGGGAGTTTGCTAGTCTGTCTGTTTTTTCTCGGAGTTAGGAAAGTCGACGCGTTTGACTTTTTAATGGGGGAAGCGCCAAATATTTCGTGCAACGTCTCACACAACATCCTAGTCCCTCAGACTGCCTTACGCAGCAGCTTTGGGGAAACCCTGGCCTATGTGCCTGTGGAGAAGAAGCTGATCTCCTTTACGAGACATATTTTGCTAGGCAAACCTCTATCCGAGTCGGGGTACCTAAACACACAGCCAGTGAGTGCAGGCACACACGATCCTGTTCTGACACACTGCGCGTTATCTTGAGAGCCTAATGTCCAGTGAAATTGCTAACATTCAAATTGTAATGCTGGCTTATTAATCAAAACGGGGGGGGGGGAGATTTGCCCCCAAAAAAACACTTTTCCAATGTAGCTACGAATAATAAAAAGGCGAAACTTTGACTCCATCGCAAACTTTTAAATCGCTGCAGATTAAAGAGAGAGAGAGAGATTTTATGGCGTCACAAACCCCTTCACGTAATCTGGCACGAAATTCCCCATCACGTTTTGGAAACAAAACTTTCAGTTAGGCGTTTAGCAACGGACCTGAAAAGTCTGCCTGACAAGGTGTGCTTTCTGGCTGTCTTGGTAGCAGCTTTCCCAAAACCTGACTCGGTCCCAGGGCCCCGTCCCCCACAGGAGGGCAAATCTAAAGCCTCAGGGCTTGTACCCCCTGATGTGCTCTCTGGCCGGGAAAGCAGCAGAAACAGGGAATTATCAGGTGATATAAATTGGATGTCTGTAATAAAAAACCTTTGTTCACCAGGGGCTTTTCCAGTCATTTCGAAGCGTTGCCCTAAATCACCGACGCGGAGCATGTCCCTTAACCACACCCCCACCCCAGTGCTCCGGCCCAGCTATCTCTTCTCGGAGCTAGGGTGGGAGAACTGAACGCTAGCCACGCTCAGATTCCTGTGTAAAACGGGACCCTCTGTCCTGGGTATCTCGCTTTCCTCTCTCTCCCATCCATCCACTAGTCAACTCTCTCCTCTCCCCCTCCCCTTCAGAGGTGGGTAAATAATTGCTAAACTAATTCTCTCTTGCATTCCCACACGTCCAAGCTTAATAACTAAAGGGAAAAAAAATCCTTCTCCCCCACCCCCATCCCCACCTCCACCCCTACTGACCCGGCCTTTCAGTGTCACCCCAAGAGGCAAGCGGGAGCGAACGCAACTCCTCTAGGTCTGGGACTTTGTCCTGTGCGCAGGAGGTCTCACCTTCTTGAACCCCACCCCACCGCAGCCCACCCTATTCAAAGGCATGGAACAACTAAGGAAGCACGTTAGCTCAGGACCATACCACTCACTGGGGTTTCTTCGGCTCAGGGCAGCCGGGTCAGAGAAGTGCAGCCGTTGCGAAACACAACGTTGAAGGAGAGAACTAGGAGAACATGATCATGGTTATTGACTAGATCATGATTATTGACACAGGCTCCTCAGTGACTGCAGGCGGTCACTATTTTTTTAAAATGCCGAAAAGTGCCCTGTAATCATCCCTGTAACAATTAAAGTCATCTTATCTATTCTGAACAATAGCGATAGAGAGAGCCTGTGTTAATTACATAGGCATGCAGACGTGAAAATATAAATATATACGTATACAGGTTGTATCTTGATGCGTGATGTGTGCATATATATGGCTATTACTTATATGACACACATACTGGGACTACACTGGCTATGAATACCTATAAACAATGTAATTTGTGCATAAAATGCAGCAATGTTCGACAACAGCTTCTGCAGAGATATCACAGACTAGCATAGATTTATCATACTGTCTAGCATATTATTCTTTCTCTGCTGTCAGAGGGATCCACGAGCATCCAGCAGTTTCCTTGAAGTAAATCAGGAAAATGATTATGAATAATCATAGATGTTAGCATTTCCAAGGCAAAATGTGTCTATTCTTCGATTTAATATTTCAAAGGGAAATTGGCATTTTCTGTATACTTCGTATGACTTTCTGTGAAGCTGTTTTATTTTCTCACCAAAATGAAGTAAATAGCCAAGAACTATTTTATCAGTTTAATCCACACCTTATTAAGCTCTTAACTGTAGCTCAAGATTTCGCACAGTAGCTACTGAGTTCTCCGTGAGCGTCTCTCTCTCTCTCTCGTGATTAATTCAGAGACGGTAATCATGGACATTATACATCAAACCTTTCTCCTCATTCTACAGAGATGTAGATGTTTATTGGTTTACAAAAAAGCGAGTAAACATATTTCAGTCCATATTTCAGCCCTTCAATCTGGCTCCATTTTCACAGCACATAATTCCAAGGACAATTTGTTTTGATAATAAGAATGGATGCAGTGTTAATGGTTTTCAATTTGTGTTTTTTTAAAAAAACATTAAATATTTATCAGTATCGATCGAGGGTTTCAGGATTTTACAGACGTCTTAACACATTTCATAGATGGGTTTTTTTTTAATTTAGAAACCTGCGTCGTATTCTCTTTTATGCTTTTTATTGATTTAAGCAGCATCCGTGTCTCAAATGAGAGGCTAATAGATTTTCATTAAAATGGGCTCTCTTAATTCTGGTTGTGAATGGATATGATTGATTGATCCGTCCAGCACACTACACAGCCATAATATTAATAAAGGGCATTTTATCATGACAGGCTTGCATTTCCGTCATCAACGCACTCCCCCCTCCTCCAATCTTAAAAATTTACTGGGGGGAGGGGAGAGCACAAAGTGGCCCACAGCAAGAGAAATACATTGGGGGTGAATACATTTTTATGTTAGAACATTTTTGGTTAATAGTTTCAATGAAAATACTTTTTGCGGGGGGCGGGGGGGGAGAACCTTACCATCTACTGTGGCTACAGATGGTGAAATTTCAACTGTTTCCTCGAAAAACTAACCTTAAGCCATTTGTGTTGAGCTTTATTTGTAGAAAATATTTTTTAACGGGCAAGTAAAACATTTTAGATGAAAAGCAAAATAAAGACTATTGTAAAGGCTATCGTTTCAACTAATAGGTTACTTCCCAGAATGAGCCTCTTGTTAGGGGCTCGCCTACTTGGTGAATATATTAAGAAGGTCTGCAGGCAGCAGTTTCTACGATAATTAATAGAGTGGCATAAATGTTAAGGGCTTAATTTTCTCTTTATTTCAATTTTTTAAATGGTAACAAAAGAAAGAAGAATTGACCCAACACAAAAAATAACACAGAGAGACTCACACTACCTCCTTCCTCTGTTGCGGATTCATTTTTGGGGGGTTGTATTCATTATTCATGCCGTCTTTAAAAAGAAGCGAAGTATGTTCAAATCCATCCTTTTTGATAGTTCTACAAAATAAAATACTGTTACCTATTAGCGTAATTAATTATAACAGACTACACCAAGTCCTGCTCATTTAGCTAAGGAGACATTAGTAGGATTAAATCGAGCGGGATTTGGCACTGAGACTGGTATAAAACCTACACCAAAAAGTTCTGGGCTGCAAAGTTTGTACTGATTTAGCACCACGCCGCACAGAGAGAGATTTGTTTGACTTCTTCAGTACAGTTTTGAACTCTGTAATAATAATTAATAAGTCAAAAGGGCATATATCTCTTGTATGGTATGCAGCGCTCAAGGGAATAGTCTTGTGTATGCATTTAAAACGAAGTAGGAATATTTACACATATGTGTGGAGTTAGCAACAGCACACACAAAAAAAGGAAAAATACACGAATATTTCACTGACCTATTACATATTTTCAATTATTTCCCAATGAGTATTTCAATGAACTGTTACATTTTCCCAATTCACAGGGAAGATTTATGGGATTATTAAGATTTCGAGTGGAAATATTATACAGTGGAAGATTATCGTCTCTCAGGGATTGTACACCATTTGATATCGATTTCCAGATGTTATGATCTTTTAAAAAAAATTGAGTATATTCACTTTTTTTCCTATACGAGACAAGGTATTTAGTTATTTTTCTGTCAAGAACACAACTATATTTCTTCTTCTTCTTCCTCTTCTTCTTCTTCGGTGAAGTGAAGTTATTGAAACACGAGAGAAAAATTGACTCAGATAATGGTTTAATACACATGGAAGGAATAATTAATGTATGAATTTATTACAAACACAAGCCTATGGATTTATCTGCATTTTTCTATGCGATCACATTTGGAAGATACAATATAAGATCACATCCCTAAAGATTTCATTATATAGAGGTGTGTGTGTGTGTGTGTGTGTGTGTATAAATGACTGAGTACTACAAGCATGTGCAGAGAGAGTGAACATTTTGGACACTATAAACTGCATTGTCTCTTGAGCACATACACACACACACACTCATGAAGAGAGTGAACATTTTGGACACTATAAACTGCATTGTCTCTTGAGCACACACACACACTCATGACGGTAAATTCAGCTTTGCTAATTACACTTCAACTTTCCTCTTTAGCGCGGTGCAAACAAAACGCAGCACTGGAGCTGAGTGGGTGGCTAGGTGGAGGGGAATTTTTTCCTCTCTATTTAGAAACTAAATGCTGCCATCGCTTGAACTATGTCCCTGTCTCTCCCCTCCACCCCCCGAAGAAGGCAAAAGAGACCGCACCGAGCGGAGGCAAACAGGGCTGGAAGGAGGGCTGCCTGCCTCACTAATTAGAGTCCATCTGCAGGTAGGGGGCTCCTGGTATTGGAGAGGCTGGCCGGGAAGGGCTGTCTGCTCTGCCTGGCCATTTGCACCCGCTGCAAAGCCTCCTGGCCTGAGGCAAAGCTCAGGGCTAAAAGACCCCAGCCAGCCACCCACTTCGGAGCACAGGGCTGCCCTTATAGCACAATTTGCCAGCCAACGCGGCTGGGGGAGGGGGCGGGGCAGTATATCAAGGAGAGACTGGGATAGGTGCTGAGCGAGTGGATTGCTTCCCAGCATTGCAAGACAGCAGGGCTGGGGCTATTTCCCTGCTGTTTTCCTGGTGCTAAAATGGACAAGCCTTTCCAAACGGTGCAAGGGGCAGGGCTGCGAGAGGCAGAAGGTGGTAGCGATCGTCACAGCTCCCTGTTATCCTAACCCCAAAGACCTCGCCTCCGACGGGTAGGAATTTCATTCCTCTCGTCAGCTTCCCTTCAGGCTCCCGCCTCTGTGTCCAAGGGCGGGTCCCCAAGCCCTCAGCGACTGGCCTTTGGGTGTCCACAGGTCCCGCCGTTGCTCCACAATGAGATCTTGTACGCACACATATAATCGACATTGCTGCCCTCCTGCTTAGCAAAGCCCGAACACCCCTTTTCTAGCCGCTGCAGCAAAGGAAATGAAAACTCCCGCGCTCGGTGTGCGAGCAAGAAAGATCTTCTCTGGCCAGGGCAAGACCCGCTCTCCTCTGCTTTGTGAGTCTGATCGGCCGCCTTCTCCAAAAGCCTCCTCGCCAGCCCACGGGACTCCAGAGCAGGCATTGGGCAAGCAGGCTCTTTGCCACGAAACTGAATGCCACCAGGTCACCTGCCATTGGAAAAGCCACTTGGCCTCCCGACCAACTCATCCCCCCGTCACAAAGCCACGCGGGGAACAAGGCAGTGAGCGTCACAAAGCTATTTAGATTCCGAAGACTGCCACCCCCTCGTTATCAATGGTCACCATGTTCTAGAATCTTGGCCACGTTCTCTTGGGAAGCATGGAGCTGAGTAAGTAGGTCTGCAGAAGGCCTTAATTGTAGGGGCAAAGAAGGGGAAGCAAATTCTGTAAATAACGAAACTCCACAGCAGGATGGCCCCTCTTTTAGTGGAGGTGAAGAAAGAGAGGAGCCAGTATTCCAGAGGTCACCTCACTTTAGATTTACCAAGCCAGCTGAGAAGAGAATCAACTCTAAGAGACTGCCAGCAGCGCCCGTAATTTACATTGTCTTCCTCCCTGCTTCACTGTGGACCCAGGATCTTGGAACATTTGCCTGGGTCTTTATCTGCTGTCTTGCTGATCGCAAAAAACATCATTGTCTCATTTTACACCAGTCAACTAAGCGAGTGCCAGTGGAATAAAATCCACAAAGTACACACATAACTGCTCTCTGGCTAAAGAAGTCTGTTCCTTGCAAGCTGTAAAGGCCTGCAAATTAAATACCAGTTACTGAGGGCCATAAAATGCTTTTTATTGCACAAAGTCTACTTAAAACAGAAGAGAATAGACCTTTTATTTTCAGGACGGGAAAGAAGGGTGGGTCCCGAAGACATATATTGGCAAAGAAATAATACATACAGTGCCTGAATAGAGGCATAGTGGAGAAATTCTATCGCCTTCGGGAGACAGGTTTTTCTCGTGGCATACAGAGGCGGTGTTATGCAAAGGTGGCTATGATGGGGCTTATTGCAGGTGAGTTTATGAAGGGCGGGGAGTCAAACAACAGTAGTTCTATGTAGGAGAGAGCGAGTGGTACAACTGCAGGAACTCTTCTAGAGAGACGGTGTATTTTAATTCTCTCCCTCCTCCCCCTTGATAAATTTGACTCCAACGGTTTGGTGGTAAATGTAAATCATCAGGGTGCTACTATAAATTGATTGCTTCCACCTGCCAAAGCGTATTCTTTGTGATCTTGGGGAGGGTCTGGCTTTCAATCTTTGGAACACTTAACATTTTTTTAAAAAGTTGTATTTTTCACTTGGTTATCTCCCGTGGTGATTGGGTAGAGGTGGGGTGCAGAAGGAACATAGGGAGTAAAAAACAGCCTTATCCTCTGACTAGTGCTGTCAGTATCAAACACTTGAGGATGGCTACTACACGTCCAGATTTAGTGTGCAGACTAAACTTTAAGCAAATAAAATTGGCAACTAAATCGAAAGAGAGAAAGTTTAAGTTTACTTAAATGAAATATAAGGCTTTTATTTAGTTCCCTTTTTATAGAAAGAAAGAAAGAAAGAAAGAAAGAAAGAAAGAAAGAAAGAAAGAAAGAAAGAAAGAAAAACTCACTCTGCACTAAGTGGTATGAATAACTTGCAGATATAGACTGAGAATTTATTTTACAATGAAATCTTGTTTTTCTCATCTAAACGTCTCTCTTATATTTTTCTAGTCATTCACTCCTGTATTTTATTAGCTTTGAACATCCCACCATTGTGGTTTCCTTCTATATATGTTTCACCCCCTGCAATGTTTCAAATAATTCCCTTAAACGGTCATTTTGCTGGGGCAGACTCTCGGCACAGTACAGTAGTGTACTCTTGTGATGTTACAATGCTAGGGAGCTTGTGCCAGTCACGTGCAAGCATTTTTGAAAGATTATTTTTTCCAAAGATAGTAGCATTTGAGATTGTAACACTTGTTTTGTAACATGACCCCTGCTTATTTTGACTAAATTTACTAAGATGTATTATTCAGATCCAGACTGTAAACAGAGAGGCTTTCTGTAGATGATTAGAAATGCTTGAAGACTAGACTTGGAAACACAGGCAGAACTGAAACTAAGCCATGTGCCTACAGCTATTTCAAAGGTTTCTTTCTCTTGCCACCCCAGTTAGAAACTTCCAAAACAATCATTTGAAGGAGGGTCCATTATTGTTTGCCTATGAAATTCTGCTAATAACAGACCGCCACAGGCAGGACACTGTGGTTGAAGTTTATGCACTCCATGAATCACAACATTAGGCAAAGTTACCTCGTTAAAATGAATAATTGCTCTAATATGTTCTTCATTTCATGGAGCCGTTTGGCAAGCATCCTGATGTGCCAATGCGATTCCAAAAAGCATCGACGTGATAGTTTGGCATGACGAAAATGATGGCTCTAAAATACTGTTGATGGAAACCACAAGTCGTAAGCAAGTGCTGATTAAACTCCAGGCGAATGTATCCTTTCGGGAGGAGGAATGACCAGACCTTTACACTCTGGATCTGGTACGACGAGTTGCAACAAGCAGTGACTTTTAATAAAACTTATAGTGGGTAACTTGTGCTCGGAGCTCCTCATTATCGATAGGGGTTAATATGGGGAGAAAGATACTAATAACATTTCTGATTAGGAGTGAAGTTATCCGATGTCTCCTCCCGGTGATCACGGTGGGAGGACTAAATGCACGTTGAAGGGGTGCGGCTTTGCCTCTTTCGTGTGTGTGCACGGACTGGTTCCCCTCCTGTTGAGGGGTTTTCTCAGGTGCCAGGCAAAATGAGGCAAGAGCAATTTGTTTATCTCTGAGAGGAGGGAGAGTGGGCTATTTAAGGACCCGATTCTGCCCTTCCCCCCATTGAAATCACTGAACATTTTGACACTGTGTTAAATTAAGGATCGACGCCCATCATTCGCTTTGCAATAGCTGAGCCGTTGTGTTCCCCGATGAAAAACGTCCTCGGGTTCCTCTTTCTGCGCAATCGTGAAGTCACCACGCTCCTGTTGCTGGTTCGGCCTGTGTAGACGGGCTGTCTTGATCAGCTGCAAGGAGACGGAGGCCGCAGCTTGCGCTTCCAGCCCCCTTGTTCCACTTAATCCCTCCGCTGGCGAGCCTGCATTCTGAACCAGGGAGCCTTCATTCTGAACCGGCGGAAGAAAACCCCGCCGCCTATAGCAGCGCAGAGAAGAAAGAAAGTAGTTCTGAGAAGTTAGATTTGGAAGCCACGCTTGCAAAGAGCTGGCGCCCCTCGCTTCCCGCGTGCAGCCGGTGCACAACCCGTGTAGACCGGGCATGTAGATTCAGTTCAATTGACCTTCTTCTAGGTCCCTCTGCAGGCACCACTATTCACCCAGTCTAAACACCAGGGGGAAATTTGGATTGGTTTGTTTCACATTGGCCTCTCTTCGGTTCCTCTGCCATCAGCTGTGGAAAGCTGTGGAACTAGCCAACAGATCTTGTAGCCAGGGCTGGCCTTACCATGAGGCAAACTGAGGCAGCCGCCTCTGGTGCCAGACTGGGGGGAGGGGGCAGGGGGACGCTACTAGGATCCAGAGTGTAGAAAATTGTGTCTCTTGCTGGTGCATATGTATTCTCTCTGCTCTAGATTCATAGAGATGGTGGAGTGCTGTGCTGGAGGAAGGAGGGCACAGGAGACATAACAGGCAGGCAGGAGAAAAGGTGAGCGAGAATAACAGAAAATACCATGCACCACGAGAGGAGTAGAACAGAAAGAAGGCAGAATTGAGATCGTTCAAAGTTTTAGCCCAAGCGAGGGAGAGTCCGGATGTAATTTGAGCTCCCCACCTCAGGTGCCAAAATGTTGTGGGCGAGCCCTGCTTGTAGCGCCCTACAGATGGCAAGCTCCCGGGCTCTTTTGGATTCACCCGGGTGCCTCAGTGGGCTGACTTCTCTGTACAGTGTGAGCTAGTCACGGACTCCATGTTGTGAATTAGAAGCTTAGCTGCTTTCAGCAGTTGGCTTGGCTGCTGGAGGGATGGACCAAGGAGACCCAAGCACAGAGTGATAGCAGTGGAACAGAGCCACTACAAGCAAACCACTAGACTAGAGCAGGGATGGGGAACCTAAGGCCTTAGGGCCAGATGTGCCCCCGGCTTGCCAGGATCAGGTCTGGAGAACCAGGGCTTCCCCCACAACATTGTGGAACCTGCCCTATTGCTCCAGCTCCCCTGTCATCCTCCTGTGACTGAAGCACACAAAATCTACTACCCTGAGCCCCCTAGGCTCTGGTATGCGAGGGGAACGTAGGGAGTCAGGGGCCACGTCAGTGAGGGTTTAATTTTTGTTTGTTTGTTTTTGGTTTGTTGTTGTTGTTGTTTTTCTTCTCATTTGTGTGCAGCTCTCCCCTCCCCCCCCCAACTAATTTTTCTGTGGGTCAGCGCCTCTGACCCAAAAAATGTTCCACACCACTTGACTAGAGAGATATGAAAGGAGATGGGACCTTTCCAGAGCTAACTTAGGTAAAGGCCAGCCAGCTGCTGTGGGGAGAGGGAGAGGAGAGACCAGGGAGAGAGACTCATAGGATGGAAGAGACCTCAGGAGGTCATTGGGTCCAACCCCCTGCTCAAAGCAAGACCAACCCAACTAAATCATCCCAGCCAGGGTTTTGTCAAGCCAGGATTTAAAAACCTCTGGAGATGGAGATTCCACCACCTCCCTAGGGAACCCATTCCAGTACTTCACCACCCTTCAAGGGAAATCGTTTTTCCTAATATCCAACCTAGCCCTCCTCCACTGCAATTTGAGACCATTGCCCCTCATTCTGCCATCGGTCACTACTGAGAACAGCCTCTTTCCATCCTCTTTGGAACCTCCCTTCAGGTAGTTGAAGGCTGCTGTCAAATCCCCCCTCACGTTTCTCTCCTGAAGACTAAACAAGCCCAAATTTCTCAGCTTTTCTTCATAGGTCACGTGCTCCAGCCCCCTAATAATTTTTTTTGCCCTCCACTGGACCCTCTCCAATGCGTCCACATCCTTTCTGTTGCGGGAGGCCTAGAATTGGATGTAATACTCCAGATGTGGCCTCACCAGTGCTGAATATAGGGGAATAATCACGTCTCTAGATCTCCTAACCCTGATATGCCATTAGCCTTCTTGGATGAAAATGTACACTGTTGACTTATATCCAGTTTCTCATCCACTGTAATCCCCAGCTCTTTTTTGGCCAAATTACTGCGTAACCAGTCAGTCCCCAGCCTGTAACGGTGCTTTAACTCTGCACTTGTCTTTGTTGAACCTCATCAGATTTCTTTTGGTCCAATCCTCCAATTTGTCTAGATCACTTTGGACCCTATCGCTACCCTCCATTGTATCTACCTCTTCCCCCTAGTTTAGTGTCATCTGCGAACTTGCTGACGGTTCAATCTAGCCCCTCATCCAGGTCATTAATAAAGATGTTGAACAAAACCAGTCCTAGAACTGACCTTTGGGGCAGTCTACTTGATAGACAACCAACCAGACATCGAGCCATTGATCACTACCCATTAAACCTGGTAATCTAGCCAGCTTTCTACCAACAGTCCCTTTATCCATTTATCTTACAGTCCATTTACCCAATCCATACTCCCTTAACTTACTGGCATTTTAAAGGAGGCAAAAATGAAATGCATCTTTGGCTCCTCCTTATATTAACAAACCCTTTCCGCACTCCTGTGAATGCTTCTTAGTCTTAGCAATGTTCGCTACCTTTACTCAGGCTACCACTGTATGGGCTGGCCATGGAATTTGAGGGGGTAAGGCTGAAAAGGGAAAAGAGGTTGCTTTAATTTCTCCTCTTTGGTTATTTCTGATGGCTGAACTCATCTGAGTCTGCAGCTCAGTTCTAAACATGGCAGAAAACCAGAAATGGAGAAGTCTACCCCACAGTAATAGGAAGGTATTGGTGCATACCAGGCTGGTAAGCCACCACTAATCAGGAAAAAGAGCTGGGTTCCATGCCTGGTTCTGCCACAGCTTTCCTGTGTGACCTTGGGCAAGTCATTTTTAATCTCCCTGTGATTCAGTTGCCTATCTTTATAATGGGCATAATCAGGGCTTGACAAATCCCAGCAAGAGCTACTCACCAGCCCCTCACCACGCATGTGCCAGACTGGCACTGCAAATGCGCGAAGCACCAATGAATGGGGCGCATGGAACGACCAGCTGAAATCTACTCACCCCAGGTGAGAAGATTCAGCGGTTTGTTGAGCCCTGGGCATAATAACACACCTTTTCTTCATCTGTGCCTTTGTCTGTCTTGGCTGTTATGACTTTCCAGGGACTAAATTAGTCAGCTTAACTTCTGTACCAGGAAAGATAACAGAGAAAGTAATTAAGGAATCCATTTGCAAACATCTAGAAGATAACAAAGTGATAAGTAACAGTCAGCATGAATTTGTCAAGAATAAATCATGTCACACCAACAAGCGAGTGGGATAAGGAGGAAGTGGTAGACGTGGTATACCTAGACTTTAGTAAAATATTTTATATAGTCTTGCATGACCTTCGCATTAATAAATTAGGGAAATATAACCTAAATGGGTCTACTATACAGTGGGCTCATAACTGGTTGGATAACCATTCCCGGAGTGTAGTTATCAATGGTTCACAGTCACACTGCAAGGGCTTAATGAGTGGGGTTCTGCAGGGGTCAGTTTGAAGACTGGTTCTATTTAATATCTTCATCAACCATTTAGATAATGACATAGAGAGTACGATTATTAAATTTGCAGATGATACAAAGCTGGGGAGGGTTGCAAGTGCTTTGGAGGACAGGATTATAATTGAAAATTATCTGGACAAACTGGAGAAATGGTCTGAGGTAAATAGAATGACGTTTAATAAGAACAAATGCAAAGTACTCCACTTAGGAAGGAACAATCGGTTTCACACATACAAAATGGGAAATGAGTAGGAAGGAGTACTGCTGAAAGGGATCTAAAGGTCATAGAGGACCACAAGCAAAATATGAGACAGCAGTATGACACTGTTGTAAAAAAAGCAAACATGACTCTGGAATATAATAACAGGAGTGCCATGAGCAAGAAATAAGAAGTAGTTCTTCCACTCTACTCTCCAATGATTAGGCCTCAACTGGAATACTGTGTCCAGTTCTGAGCACCACCTTTCAAGAAAGATGTGGAGAAACTGGAGAAGGTCCAGAGAAGAGCAACAAAAATTATGATAAGGCTAAAAAACAAGACCTATGAGAGAAAAATTGAAAGAATTGGGTTTATTTAGTCTGGAAAAGAGAAGACTTGAGAGGGGATATGATATCAGCTTTCAAGTACCTAAAAGGTTGTTACAAGGAGGACAGAGAAAAATATTCTGCTTAACCTCTGATGACAGGACAAGAAGCAATGGAATTAAATTGCAGCAAGGGAGGTTTAGGTTGGACATTAGGAAAAACTTCCTAACTGTCAGAGACATTAATAAATTGTCTTGGGAAGTTGTGGAATCTCCATCATTGGAGATTTTTAAGAGCAGGTTAGATAGACACCTGTCAGGGATGATCTAGAAGATAATGCTTGGTCCTGCCATGAGTGCAGGGGACCGGACTTGTTGA